CGATAAAACGCCACTCTAACGGGACTAGCGACAGCAGCAGTTGACGTGCCCATATCATCAAAGATCGTCGTTTGTGTCCGAAAAAAATATTTTTTTTCTTCGTCGATATACTTGATATACATACTATTGGGAATATACCAAGCGGTTCGATACGCTCCAAGTACAATTTTATGGAAGAAATCAAGCGAACTGATGTACAGTAGTGAAGCGTTTGGCATCAAAACGATGTTATAAACATTTGTTCATCTCAGAGATGGTGTTTTTTCCCCCTTAATTTCGACAGAAAAACTTGTAATATGTAATCATGATACCCTGTTACCGAAAAGTGGGTAAATCTTGTTCCAATAGGTAGTTAATTACTTTTCTTAACACGTGTTGTCAGAATCCATATTTTGTGTCCTTGATACTGAAAAATTTGTTTACGGCAAAACCGTCCGTCCGTGAACAACGCAGCGGCCAAATCCTAGGCAGGGTGTTCACAAAAAAATATTTCCAGATTGACCTGGCAGATGTCGCGGTCCCTTGAATATAAATATTTTTATTTTGAAAGCACTGTGCATGAAGCCTCAGTGACATTTTCAAAATTTTCTTAAAAATTGCTTCAAATGTTTTCTTTAAAATTTAATTTAAATTATAATTTATTTATAATAGACCAAAGTAAACCTTAAAAAATTGTGTAAATCAGATTTTCGTTTAATTACCTGAAATTTCGAAAATTGGAAAATTTAAAATCTTTTCGGCGTCATCCGACAACTACAATATTTGAAACTGTTTTTTTTTAATGAAATTTTTTTTTGCACAGAAACCTCTTTAAATAAGATTATTTTAAGTGTTTCCAATATATGAGTAAATTTCGTGTAATTTATTGACAATTTAAAAAATAATTGTCAAATTCTGCTCTTTTTTTCTCGAACTGAGGAAAGTATGGTTATTAAAATGGTGAAGGTCCCATTTTCTGTGAACAATATTTTAGAAAATAGCAAAACCATTTTCATTGCAAATTCCTTAATAATTCAAGTATTTATGAAATTGAAAATTCGAAATTACCGCGCTTCCTTTTTTGATGTCTTTCAAGATATAAGCGAGAGGTTAATGTGAAACAATTTGTCATATTATAATACAAATACAGACCACTCCGGATTACTATAGATCTGAGGACTAACATGTTTGCTTCACTATATCCGAAGATGGCAAAATTTAATAGAATTTCTCTACAATGAGTGATTCTTTATTTGCCCGTAACAAATCAGATATTTTTAAGTGCATACTGAATGCATTTTTCATTAATTTCCCAAGATCCTTCTCCAGGGTTTCTGCTCTCTCTGTCATTGATTCTGCATTGTTCTGTGTTTATCGACAGAAGACTTGCATGAATCTCTCTGCGCACGTTCGTGTTTTGTGGGGGTGAGGACAATTCGAATAGGTTGTTGCTCCAGATGCACGAAACGTTGGATGCAGGTCGCCGTAGACATGCCCCTTATCGACTTGAAAAACAACGTAGGGAGCTCACCGATGGGAGCCCGCGCCAAAAGGCCAGGCCTAGGCATCGAGTATAAGAGCTCTGCTTTTCATACGAGGATGCACTGCGAAACACCTGGAAAGCATGCGCACAGAGACAATCTTTTTATTTAAATTCAAGCTGAAACAAATGTCTATTTTGAGAGAAGTGCGTTAAAAAATCTCTCTTGTACAAAAACGATAGGTAAATCCAAAAGCTTTTCAAAGCTATTACCGAACTATGTTTGGCCGGAAAATTCAATCCCTTGACCCGAATTAAGTGCTCGACTGACTTGTTTGTGTAAGCATTTTCCGTATTTACTTTCATTGGCGTGAAAAAGAATTGCAAATGCAGTGCATTTTAAGGTTAGGTTTTTTGTTCTTTCTTGAAAAGGCTAATTCTAACAAATGGAATGACAGCGAACAGAATAAATAAAAATGTCCCAGATGTATGTAAAAATGATAAACGCCGTTATTTGAATAAGACACTAGGGTGGGGTGAATAAAAAGAAGCAATAGATTTGTTTTAGCTGAATAAAAAATAAGGAAAATCTTATGATTATTAGCCAAAGCATTTTATAGTAGCCAAAGCTAAATTTTCCAGCAAATGCTTGAAAAGGTGTAAATAAAGATCAGCTTAATCTTCCTTTATTTAAGCAAAAGCTGATTATTTTTCTAATGTGCCAGCCCAGTCTCTTAGATTTTGTGAAGTGTGAGTTTGTAGGGTGCTAGTGGTGCTACAGAATGCCACAGACATTCCCGTCTTAGTTCTATAGCCGTTGATCTCGGCTAGCTATTCAAAAATGCCACGTACTCGTGTCAGCTGCCATTTATGGCCGCCCCAAGTACATTTTTTGAAAGTTTCTTAATTTTTCGGTTTTCTAATAGTAGAACGTAAATAATATTGAAAGAATATTAAGTAGCATTGAAACCTCGTCCTAAATGCCAATTTTCTTTGAAAATTTTTTGAGCCGTTTTAAAGGAAATGGCGCGTAAGCGCTACAGAAAATTCGAAATTTGAAGCACTTTTTAACAGAAGATTTTTCAGTTTTCAAAAAACTTTACTTGAAGTTATTTGAACATCACACAAACTAACAAATACAATAGTTGCAAGTTGCTGGAAATGTGCATATTAACTGCGTGTGAAATCTGAAAAAAAATAATTTGAATAATTTTTGAGAAAACCAAAGAATTCCCTGAAATTAACTTTGACATATTTAAGAGTGCATTTAAAACTACCCTTTTGAAAACTTTAAAAACAAAATTGGAGCCGGTTTTGAGAAAGTGTCGTTGGAGCGTTTCTGAAAATGTGAAATTTTGAGTTGGTTTTGACAGAAAACAATTGAGTTTTCAATGTGAACAAATTACCGCTAATGTAAATATTAACGACGTGAGATACAAGTTATTTTTTTTCTTTTTTTAGAGAAAACAAAAGAACTGTGCAATATGGCGTTCATGTCATCTTATAGAGGGCATTAACACAATCTCCAGCAAAGATTGAAAGAAAAAAATTGGAGAGGTTTTTGAGCAAAATTTGTTTTTGTAATGTTTTAAAATTGCACATATTGCTTGCAATATTGCGCAAAAACTTCTTAATGAAAAAGGAATCTTAATGAAAGAACTAACTATGGAAAAATAAATTATTTGAAGGAAAAATCTTTCTTTAATTTTGAAGTTTTAGAAAGACCCTAAAAATATTCAAACTTTCGAAATTTTTGAAAATTCAGAGTTAACCCTGAAAATTGGACTTCTGCCACCTTTTTAAGCATATTTTACTACATTCTTAGAAGAAATTTAAAGAACAAATTTGGAGCAATTTTTGAGAAAATTTTGAAAATGTCCCAGGGGCTTTATGTAAAGTACTCCCAAAAACTGATAAATGATTTTCGTAATCACAGAGCTTCAACCCAGGTTAAATGGACATGGGTTTCCTCAATTTAGAAAAAATTCTACACACTGTTTAGGCACTAGAGTTGTTCACATAAACACAGACGTTTGTTTGTTCGTTTCGAAAGGGGGGGGGGGACAGTATCATGATACCCCCCAAAGAGGTATTTCCGTTGAAATCTCGAAATAGATTTTCCGCAGCATTACATAACTTTCCCTTTACTACATATAATACTCTGTGTATAAGGGAATGTAAAAATGGTTTCTTTTATACGTATTTGATCTTGCAAATGTTACTCCAAGCCAATGGAATGTGCTGAAGTGATTGTTTTTCCTAACCGGTTTAATCAAGAATATGTGCATTGGGTAGCTACTTATTTCCTGAGCTAGTCACAAAACAAGAGGAGGAGCGTTATCACCCATTCACAAGATGCAGATATTTCTTTGCTTTGTTAGTGATCCTGGCTTCAAAGCAAGTGTAGTTAGAGAAGACAAACACTGAACAACTGTTAGCAAAACTACATTTGTAATGAATAAAATTCTATTAAATGTTAATGAATGGATGAAGCTTCCAAAGCTCATGAAACATACTCGGTTACAGTGGACAGAACAATATCGCTTCCCATGTGTAATTAGCGTTAGAAATTGCACTCACATTCCAATAAAGAAACCTACTTCTCTTGGCGATGAATACAAAAATCGGAAGAATTTTACAAACATGAACATTCAAGTTATATTCAATAGGAATGAAGAGTTCACGAATGTAGATTTCTCAGTGGTCCGGATCCCAGATCTGTAGAGTCGAATACTCAAACGATCTGGCCATTATAAATTTATGAACAAACAGAAAAGTGACGTACTTTTACTTGGATACATCGGATATGACATAATGCCATGGTTGCTTACACCAAACAGAAATCCTTCAACATCTGAGGAAATGACATTCAATAAGGAACGCGATGATAGAGCAATATTATTTCCTTCCTGAATTATTTCATGCATTTTATTTCCGTGAAATGAAGGCTCTTTCTTTTGCTAATTTAACTCTTAACACCTGCAATTTGTTAAAATGTATTGTGTACTCTTTTAATACAGTTCAAAACGACCCTGATTATAGTCACTCATTATTGCGGTGTTTACCAGAAGACATATTGAAATGGCTCAAATTTTGCTTATTTAATAACTTCAAAACTGTAAAACATGTAGGTAAAACCGTAAAATGTGAAAAACCTCACACATTCAAACCGTGAATGTAAGCGAATGAATACAAAAACAACGAACATTGTCTCCTGCCCTTTACCTAGCAAATGTTACAATTTTCCAGATTTAGCTCCCTAGTGTTAGCAAAAGCTTATTCATTCTTTAGCTAGGAAATGCTAGTGCTAGGAATTGAAACCAGTTAGAAAATGCTAATGCTAACACTAAATGCTATAAACTTTTGCTTACTTTTTATTCCCAATCCCAATGTCGTCTTCATATATTCATTAACAATTGTTTTTTATTTGCAAATTTGTCGGAAATTAAGTGAAAAGTTTCTTAAATCATTGCCTTTATTTAAATTATTGTATGAAAATTCACCATTGACTTATATATCAATTTTTTTTTCTTCCTTCCAGTTGGATGATGAACCTTTCAACCCTGATTATGTAGAAGTTGACAGAGTTCTGGATGTAGCAGAACATACTGATCCAAACACAGGACGAAGTACCAAACATTATTTAGTGAAATGGAGATCAATGCAGTATGAGGATTCAACTTGGGAACTTCAAGAAGATGTTGATCCCGTGAAAATTCAGCAGTACGAACAATTTCAAAAGAGACCTCCAAAGGATAAAATAAAGGTAAGAAATTAAAAAACTTATTTGCCTCTTTCAATGTTTATGAACCTAAATATATAGATTTGCCCCTACATGAATAAAACTATTTTTTTAATGCAGCCAAAGAAGAAGCCAACAGCTGAAGAATGGACGAAACTTGATGAGTCTCCTATTTACAAAAATGGTAATCAACTTCGTGCTTACCAACTTGAAGGTCTAAACTGGCTTTTGTTTTCGTGGTACAATGGGTGAGTATTTATACATTCAGGAGTTGGGTGGTTCTAAACGTAAAAATTATATTTGATGATATGAGGTAGCAGGTGCACTAGGAAATTAATCAGTTTTTGATAAAACTATGGGCTTAAAATGCTGATAAATATCATAAAAGCTTCTTGCGTAGATTTCTATCTTATGTGTAGTTCCTCTCAGGTATAGTGTGTGCTGTACTTAGAACTCACCATGAACAAAATATTACCATTTCATTTGTGATCCTGGAAACTTAACAGAACTTAATATTGTTTGTTATTTCAGGTTTTTATAACTAAATGTCTGCATAATATTTAGCATGAACATTTCAGTTTTGTTATGGAAAAAGCGTTCTCTTGTCATTAATTTTATTATATTTAGCCATTGTTATTTGGTACTTGGCAGGAGAAAATGTATTACAATTTTTTGAAAATCAAAAAACTGCACTTTAAATAGTTCTTGCCCCTTTTTGCCCTTTGATATTGGTATTTTCTCCTATACACCTTGTAGGTTATAAGTAGACTCCTAAAATTCAGATATTTATTTCATGTGAAACAGGCTGGCAAAAACGCATTTATTTTCATTAGAATAGGCGTGCAAAACATATTTATTCTGGATAAAATAGAATGCAAAAAGACACGTTAACTCTGAAATCTCTGCCATTTAAAAAGTATTATTCTAAAAAATTTGTATTTATCAAAATGATTAAAGTTTGTAATGTAACATGGAAGTAAATTATCAAATCTTTGTAATCTTTATTGCACATGACTACAAGACTTTTATTTCAACACTCCTTCTATGAGATATTGTTTTTCAGTATCATTACTGAAAATTATTCTTCACACTAAATTTCTGTATGATGATGACTACAAATTTGTTTTTACGTGACCTTGTCCCGTGCTATTACAGACTTCTTTGAGCCCTGGAATGCATCACTGAGTAGGACCGCATTTTATATAATGTCATAGAGCTCTGTCCTCCAAAGAGATTACCAGTGTGGGTTCAGAAAACACCGGTCAAATCTGGACCATTTTGTTGCTCGGACAACAGAAATTTCTACCTTTTTCGTCTTGGGGCAACACCTTATGGCTGTACACTTTGATATACAAATACTTCTCTTTGACGTGGGCCTATGATACCACTTGCCTGCAGAGCATTTTGCGAACTTCCTCTTTATTTCAAATAAATCTTTACTTGTTCGCGTTGGTGGACATGGTGACTAGTTGTCACCCTCTTGGAAGCAGCATCTCGCAAGGGTAGGTTCTCAATGTAACGGATTGCCATTCCCCAATCCAAACACATTTCTCAGTCACTATGTTTTTATCTATTTCCCAACAAACTTGCTGCAATAACTCATTCCCCATCCCTCTCTTAATCGTTTCCTCAAACTTAATGCCATTTTGCTGATATTTCTTCTGTTTTTAGCCTATTTGTCTCCCATCTTATCATGTAACTAGATGTGCAATAGTCCGCCATATCATCTCCTTTCTTTATATCCTTAGAGCCTCTTCCTTGCTTTTCAGCGTTCCTAGTGTAGTATCTTGCTGCATGGAAAACACCAAATTACCATTCTTCCATTTCCCTTCTGTTCTACACCAGTCCAGTTGACCTTATTTTTGCTTGAATTTTCATTTCCCTTTCTTCTTTTTTATTGTAAAGAAAGAACGTCTGATGGTGCCTGTTGCTCCAAAATGTAAATAGCACAAACGATTGACTGACTATTCTGATTCCTTTAACTATTCCAAATTCCTTCATTTGTTCATTCCTTTTGATCTCTTAGTGTTAACACACTACCCGATTGATCACTGACTAAATTAAGTCCCTACTTTTCTACTTTACCAATGCACATCCACTGTCTTCACTCACATCTGCCAACAAAAATCGACTGGTTACTATATGCAAGATGAAATTCACGAAAAGGTTTTCCGTTATCATGCGAGTCTTATTTTCGATTCTCCTTTCTGTCGATAATGCCAAATAAGGAAACACTTCCTTTCTGCCTGCAGGTCACATCCCGCATCTGTGCATTGGCTTTTCGTACCCAGAAGAAATGTATCCAGAGACCTTTGAGTTGTGATAGAAAACAGTTTCATAGTTTTCCTAAAAACGTAGTTGCTAGAAGTTGGAGAAATCCAGTGATAGTCAATATAAACAACATGGATATTAGAATTTTAAAAGGCATTGATCGCGTTCACCGCACTGTACTACACAACAGTACACTACTCCGTTTAGCTTTGAATTACACTGACCAGCACTTCACTGCACTTTGCAGTACTTAGTTGCCCATGTAATATCTATTACTCTCAGCTTGTTGTAACTTATTTCTAATGCTTCGAACATGGAGAGGAAAGGCTTTGAATGTTGCTGCGGGCAAACTGTTCCAAATGCTACTTGTTCTAGATTTTTCCAGTGCGACTTACTGTACGGATCCCAACATGCCATTCCGTTTTTCCATGCGAGAGTGAACCAGCAAAATATACGCTAATTCCTTGCTGTTTGTAGATTCCTTGTAGATTTCTTTAGAATTCACATCGCAAAATGCAAGGTCTTACCACGTTTTTGTCTTGCTACCTGATTTATATGCTTCTCTCACCCTAATTTACTGTGTAGACGAATGCCTAAATACTTGCATGACAAGACCCTTGGAATGGTGACCTCGCCTAAATGATAGTCTGGTTTCCTAAATTTCATCCCCAACGTTGTTATGCTTTTCTCTCAGTTAATTCCCATATCGTTTGCTTCAGTCTAGTCATGTAAGTGTTTTAAATCCTTTTGTAATATTTGTTTGTCAGTGCTAACTTTGATTTTGTGATATAATCAATCATGGTAACCAATCGTCTGCAAATAAACACAAATTTCATTGTATGTTAACATGTAGATCATTCACATATATATACTAATAAAAATAATTGACCCTAAAACACTTCCCTGTGGAACCCTTGAAGTAACAATACACTTTGTCGAGAACTGAGTTCCAAATCAAACTTTTTGTTTCCTGTCTAAGAAATTTGCTTATTCACATCACAACTGTAGCATCAAGTCCTGAAGGTAATAATTTCCTAATATGTAGTTCATGCGGTAGTACATTGAATGCTTTCGCAGTCAATTATGTCTTCATCCACCCTCCCACCTGCATTGTCGACTTTGTCAGCTAGATCTTGAAAAAGGGGAAAGAATTTGGCTTTCGCACGAATATCCACTTCTAAAGCCATGCTGTCCTTGAAAAATTCAGTTTGCTTTTTAACATTTGCGGTGAATGTACCTGGGTGGTTAATGCTTTTTGAAGATTATTTTACAGTTAACAGTCACGAAGAGTAGTTTATTGCCAAGCCTAGGTACTCTAGTGTAAGTGGCTAGTACAGAAACCTTTTACCGACCAATCCAAGAGGACAGAGCAATCACTTTGAATTTTCTTCTGGTGTTCTCTCATTCCCTGTGCTCCCATCTTCTTGTTTCATTAGACAAACACTCATGGGCTTGTATGACCTTAGGAGAAGAGCTCCTGAAACTCAATTTATTAATAAATCATAAGTAAGTGTAGGTTTGAAAGAGTTAGTATGATTGACATGATGACAAAGTTTTTGAGGACAACTTGAAAGGATTCGAGATTAACTCGCTAGTAATTTACAAAATAAAACTGGATGACAAAACAACGTGTTAGAAGATTTTTTTAAAGTTTGGATATTGTCTTTTTCTTCATTGCTTCTGCAAAATGTTGTAGGACTTGTTAACTCTTGAAAAACATTATTTTCATTTGTTTTTGTCTTCTTTATTGTTTTAGGCGCAATTGTATTTTGGCAGATGAAATGGGTTTAGGAAAGACTATCCAGTCCTTGACATTTATTCATTCAGTGTTTGAATATGGTATACGTGGCCCATTTCTGGTGATTGCTCCGTTATCAACTATTCCAAATTGGCAGCGTGAATTTGAAGCGTGGACAGACATGAATGTCATTGTCTACCATGGCTCGTAAGTATCCATTTTGTTTCCCCTTTTTGGTTTTAAGCTTATTTTGTAATGTGAAATGCATAACATTTATTATGTTAATGATGTGAACATACTTTGTGAAATATTTTTGTTATCAAGTTCTGCAAGTACTGTTGTACTATTCTATTTTTTGTTAGTAATTATTATGTGTATACAATAATTTATTGCCAATCAATGTGCCTTGTGTGGTTGGAATTATTAATAACTCATATTTTACTCAATACTTTGTAAATCAATGCAGCAAAATGTTTTGTTTATCTATTCATTTTGCAATGCAATGGACTTATTCGGTTTATGTTGGTAAACATTGTGTTACTTACGGATTCATTTGTTTTGCTTTTCAAAGAAAAAAAAGAAAAAAGGAATATTTTCCCCATCTGACACAATCACCCTTGCAATGGGAGTCTTTACTTACATTGGTGTTCATGAATTACATCTGCAATATTTGGATGTACAGGACAATGTTTGAATAGTGAAAGATTTTTCCAAAGTAATAATATCTACTGTGCTTTGCTAATCGCCCCTATATGCTAAGGAAATATGACGGTTTATTACCTTTTATAAGAAACCATTGGCACAAAACTCTGGTAGTGTATTACTACTAGAAAAAAATTTACCTCTTAGGGGTGCATCGAACCGATTTAAAAGGAAAAACATTTACCGATTTAGGCATTATTTTCTTTCTCTTAGACATACATATACTGAGAAATATGCGTAGTACAAGAAAGTTTTATAATGATGTGGTTGATTAATTTAAATATTTTAAGGACATGCATGTTTTGGGGTCCTTTGATGCCAAAGTGTTTTTCATTTTGCTCTCTCGCCTACTGCTTGTGCAGAGTAGAGAAAATACTGTAATGCGGGAAACTAGTAGTGCTACAACAAAACCTACTTTCTCATACTTAGTAATTGTTACGTAATATAATACCATATTTCAGACCATATTAACACATCGTAGTCATTACTAGTAATACTCATTAGGTGCGAAAACTAATTCTTTAAAGCCAAAATCTTCAATGCTCTTTGTTAAAAAAAATTGTTGCATCTTTTAATCTGCATGACGCATCTCTAAGCTCTTGTGTGAGCATTGAGCGTATAGAGCGTAATACTCCAGTAAAATTATATTTTACTTCTCATAGTTGTCAGAAGTAATCATCCATTAATATTTGTTGTCATTTAAGTTGTCAAGAGGGACCTCCAGGTACAATCTCCACATACGTGCCTCCTACCATGCGCCTCTGCGTGGTAGGACCTAGCAACTAGAATGGGGATGGAGTTAGGATACGGTTAAGTTTTAGGATGCTTCACAGGGGTTGGTTGAGCCTCTGTGAAGCAGGCAAACTCTTTTTGTTCAAACAAATTTCACATGAGTTTTACCAGGAATCAAACCCGGACCTCGATGAAAGATGAGAGACTCCGCTCTTGAGCAGTGAGCATCGACAATTAAAACTGCTTTTCATACAGCTACATCTCCCGAGGAGGAATTCTCAGAATTTCAAACTGTCAAGCCACTGCATTGCCTTCTGTACAATTACAGACTATACTGACCTTGAGCAGGTAAAAAAACATTGTTTTTAACAAGGATGGTTAATGTATAGATTATCATTTGAAAACTTGGAGTGAATAATTCTAAAACACTAAATATGCCTGTAACAAGTATACCTCAGCTTCCGCATATGTGCCGTTAACTTCGGTGCAGGCCAACCACAGTTTGTTTTTCATTGGCCTCTCCCTCCGACTTAGCCTCAGGCACTGTTTTAGATGTAGATTCAAATCGATGCAAGTCATGTGTACACCCTGGCAAGGAGTGTACACTGCCTTAGCGAACACTGCTAAATCAACATTGGCATTCAGGAATGGAAAAAAAACCTTGCTTATGTGTTTCGTTTAGGATGGTTCCATCTTTTGAAGAAATAAAATTCATAAATTATAATACACAATGTCATGCAACAAAGAGAAAGGCCAGAGATTCCCAGTTGGGGACCTTTGCAGTTAATGGGTTAATAAAAGTATCAACAAAGCAGGGTAATAACATTTGAAAACACATTTTCGTTCTTGAATTCTAGAAAACTGTTCACATTGGTAACAACGTACAGAATTGAGTTGTTAATATTTATAAGAAATTAGTAACCCATATCACTGCCATTACTCCTATCTCGAATAATCCAGTCAAATTGGTCAAATTGAGTGAAAAAATCTCGTAGTTCTGAAACTTGTTGTGGTTGTTTGTTGATGCCTACTGTATAACATACCAAAAATCCTGAAATGTGTGGGGACGGCGTGGAGGCAGGGGCTCGTTTGAAGGTCCTTTTTCGATTTTTTCTTTTTTGTCATATATTGTCATAACAATCTCACAATGTACCCCAAATATGTTCTGTTCAAAATTAAAGTAGACACAATTTCATACAAAAAAGTTCCTATAAGGTTTTGTTGTATAAGTAATACTTTTAGCATCGTAAGTTTGAAAAGTTCTTAGTTTTGTTTACGACAAGACCTTGTTCTATTTACATTATATGATCAAAAGTATCTGGACACATGGCTGAAAATGACTAACCAGTTCATAGCACACTCCATCGGTAATGCTAAAATTCAATAGGTGTTGGCCCACCCTTAGCCTTGATGACAGCTTCCACTCTCACAGGCATACTTTCAATCAGATGCTGGAAGGTGGGGAATGGCAGCCCATTATTCATGGAGTGCTACACTGAGGAGAGGTATTGATGTAGGGTAGTGAGGCCTGGCACGAAGTTGGCATTCCAAAACATCCCAAAAGTGTTTGATAGGATTGAAGTCAGGTCTCTGTGTAGGCCAGTCCATTATGGGGATGTTATTTTCGTGTAACCACTCCACCACAGGCCGTGCAGTATGAACAGGTGCTTGATCGTGTTGAAAGATGCAATTGCCATCCCTGAATTGCTCTCCAAGAAGCAAGATGATGTTTAAAACTTCAATGTAGGCCTGTGCTGTCATAGTGCCACACACAACAAGGGGTTCAAGCCCCCTTCATCAAAAACACGACCACACCATAACACCATTTTGGATCCAGATACTTTTGATCATAATAGTGTATCTCCCTTATAAAAATATTATGATATATTCAATACACATAAGTAATTTTATTTTATTTTAACATATATCAACAAGTATATGCATATTATGCTAAAAAAATGAACATTTTACATGTTTACAAATGTTATTTTGTACAATGACTTGAGTATTCATGGTCATTTGGGTCTGAGATTACCACAGCTTTGAAAAGTGATAATCCTTCATTTATGTTGATGAGGCAGGACAGATGGTCTTATCTCTGTGTTCATGGAATGCTCACTCCATCAACTTTGTGTTCATGGAAACACTTTTTAGTTCAAGAAAGAGGCAAAAAGAGAAGATAAAGAAAATGTAGTTTCAATTTCCCCTGCTGTCATGAGTGCTGTTTGCCCGTGCTTTTTCATTCCCCAGCCCCTGCATGTTCTTGCATATTTAATTCACCGAAAATATGGTGCCAAGAACTTGATAAACTTGCTTACAAATTTTGGCTTCAGTGCTTCCTATAATGATGCTCAGATATTACAGTTATCGACCATTTATCATCCTCAGAGTGAAGATATCGTATTATTGGTCTTGTTAATGTCATTAGCTCCACCAAAATCCAACTTTTCTTTGTCAAACGAGAGAGAGGTAAAGTGGAAACAAAAGTATATTCCTCCTTGAATTTACAAAATCTGAATGTGGTCAAATATGTTTCATTTTGAATACAAGTTCAGAGGATGTGACACTACCTCTGTGGACAGAAAAAAAACAAAAAACAAAAAAAAAAAACCCTAATTGTGAAATTATTTGAAAAATATGAAAGCCTCCATGCCAATGCGAAGGTATTTTTATGAACTTGCTTCCACATCAGAAACAGTGTTACAAGCCTGTGAGCAGATGTTTTAGCTCAATAAAATGAAACACAGGTACTCTGCATTCTTGAAGTCCACCAACAAGATTAAAACAGATAGTCAGATGATATTCTCCTTACCGCCAGCCAGAGGCTCAGTAGAGAAATATTCTTAGTTTATTTACAAGTACAAAACTGCTCAGGTAACCCACTGCCACCAGAGAGATGGCGTTGGATGCAAAGCGTCGATGGAACCCCATTAATGACAAAAAGCCCAGTAGCTCTTGAGACGATTATCAAGTCCATTTTTTCTATATATGTTTGTGGATGCGGATGTTGTAGGGCCGGTTTAAGATGCTCCATAGTTTATGCCAATTGCCATGGTGGGGAATTGCCCTCAACCACAAGATGAACTTGTAGTGGATATGAACGAAGAGAAGGAATTCTGATTTTGTTGGCGATTTACATTTAAAGTTTGTACAAACATGCTTAATATCTTACGAAATTATTTATCTCCAAATCATAAATATTTTTTAAAAGTCCGATTTTCGTTCAACTTATTACCGAAAAGTATTTATTAATCCTATTACAAAACTTCATAGGACCTTTTTTGTAGGAAATTTCAATCTACTCTCATTTCTCGGCGTATATTCCGTAAAAGCAATGATAACTGAAACCATAAGATAAGATTTGATAGAAAAGAAGGCTTGGGATTATCCTAATCACGATTAACCTAGGCAACCATTACAAGAAACAATAGAAGAACTCATTGCAAAACTGTCGATGTCGTTTGTGATTGAACATTGGGGCTTCCCCCAATTTACTAATCATTGTTGTCCTTGTCAAACGTGGAGTGTGTCGTTCATCATCGCCACTCGGTTTTAGATGTTACATTTGCATTGTTTTATGTAGTTTGTTTGTTGACAGTGTAGACAATCCTTTACCAAGTATGTCTACTTGATCCTTATCAAATAATTTCGAATTATCAGTTATCGTACCCGAGGTAATCTCGGCCTCCAGTGGCCTGGGATACTCGCAAATCAAGTCTATGTAGTAAAAAAATAGGATTTGTGAAGATGCAAAATGTTCATGTTTCGGGGCA